GGGTAACTTCATAGGGTTCCTTTTTCCTATGAATTTAAAAAAAAACAAAGAAGAAAAACCCACCAACTAAAATGATAGAACAGGATTTGTTATAGTGTATGTGGTGGAGGGAGACAGAATTCTTTCTTCTGTACCATAGTGGTTTTCATGTTAAAATAAATAGAAACATTTTGCATCTTTGTAAAAGTAGATTAACCACTTATCCCGGTTTAATCTATTTGAAGACTTTTTTACTAATACGAATATGTGATAGCCAACTGTTTTGCTTTTTATATTCAGAGTAATTCTTAAATTAACAAACAATATCAGTTAGCTTTAATGTGTTTTCTGTTTGCTTATACCATTATCATATGCATCTCTTATGCTTTCTAATTTTCCATACGACTTCTGCTTATGAAGTTTTTCTTTGTTTGCTGCTCATTTTCTGTGCTTGCCTGACTTGAGAGTGAAATCTTAACTCAGAATAAATGATCATATGAGCACATAGCAAATATGCAGGAATTTTGTCTCCTTTGTAGGATCCTGAAGAAAGATTGGTTTCCTGCAAAATAACTACTGAAATGTAAATATGTGCAGAAAATGAAAGGGGATTATAGGCAACTGGAGGAAAAAATGCAAAGGCAATTGTATAAAAAAACTCTTTCCATATAGTTTTGGGTTTTCTTTCTTTTTCCCCATCTTTCAACGAGTGTCGCTACCTGATGTTTTAATTTCTGTCTTTTGGGTTTCTGTAAGTATGCAAGTAGTTTACGAACACAGTACTATCAAATATTTATACCGTATGTGGTAACTGCTTACTTACAGTATTCAGGAAGCGGGTATCATCCTGTCAGGTGCATGCCTATTATTGTTTGGTATTCTGCTAATGCCTTGAGCATATGTAGTTATACAGCAGTCTGAACTAAACAGTGACAATCTTTTTTCCAGAAATCTAGGGATAAAAAGCAAGCAGACAGAGCACTAAATGCTTGTATAAATGCAGACCAATCAATCCTAGGGAAACACATGACATTTAGGGAAATACTGTTTAAAAAAGTACTGCAGCATCTTTTGATTTAACAGGTAGCCAAAATAATCAGTTTCCCACACCTGTAATGTGAAATTTTATTTATATTTGAAAAGCTTTTATTTTATAAAATGAGGCATTTTCAACATGTGATGTAAATAGCAGTACCATATTAAACGATTAACGGGCTTAGACTTTAGATACCCAAAGAAGTGGCGTATGAGAAATATGTTTAAATCTCACGACATTGCAAGGAGTGAGCTGGATAAAGCTTCCTTCTCAATCCTGAAGGCAAGATTTACTAACAAGAGCTAATTTAGCTTTTTATTCTAATATGGAAAGTCCTAGGAACATGGGGAATTTTGCTGTAAACAAATGCATTTCCAATGAGTATAGTTCTGACTTTTAAAGTGGAATATTCTCCTTCCTGTCATTTAATATCCATCTTAGCAAAACATAGCTTCTCTACAAAAGTTTCGCCTGGTAGTCTGCCTGGAATGTGTTTCAAAGATTACTGTACCTGGCATAAAAAGTGGCCCTTGTGCCCAGTGTGCACTGGTGAATACTCATGTAACCACCTGAAAGTTTTTCGCTGCTTATCCAGAAAGGCATTTCATGCAGAATCAACTCCAAATAGGTTCTGTCGTCAGTCTCCCTCCCCAGTCTCTCCTAAAAAAAACTACTGCAGGGAGGTGAAGAAAGAATTTTTTATTTTCTTTCACAAGTCCCAAAGAAACAAAAATCTACATTTAGCATTCATATTAAGTCACTTTGGGAAAGATTCTGCCAAGTTTAATTCATTCATTGTTTGGTTTGTAATAATTCTAAGCCATATGCTTTTTTAAACCTATTTAACTTGGGCTAGGCTGTTTTGGGAGAGAGCAATTATACACGTTCTTAAAAGGAACACATATGTCCTGTTAGCCTTTTGCTCTAAAGCTGAGCCAGTTGTGTTTTAATTACACTATTGTTAGTTGAAATTACAGTCACTAGTGTGCTTCTGATATTAAAACTCTTGATTATAGCTTTGAAAACACAGATCCAGGAAACAACACTGAGCCCCCATGATGAAAAGAATCCTATTGAAAAGCATAATTAGCTACATTTTAGTAGCCTTTTTAAAAGAAAACAAACTTATGTATGTTTTTGCTTTTCCCTCTTCTTATCATTTAGAAGACTTGGTTTAAATATAGATGTTAAATTCATTCAGGATCTGTTGATTATTAGTAATTACCAAATCCAGGATTTTAATCCATAAACTTTTTTTAAATTTTTTTTTTTTTAAATATGCTTCATTCAGTCTCTTCAGTAATTGGAGACCTTCAAACTATAGAAAAGCAGAATGGGGAGGATCTGATGAAGCAGGGGGAGAGGGGTTGGAGTTGGGTGGTTTTGTTTTGGGGTGTGGGTTTGTGGGTTTTTTTAAGTCTTTCATGATGCCACAGGGAACTATTTTTATTTTTCACTAAGTCAGCTCTGAATTTTTTAATTTGCAAATAGGCAGTACTAGTATTATGCTAAAAGGCTTCTGTTAAAAGTGTTTTATTTTAGCTTCTTAAAGCTATTTTTGATAGCTTATTATTTTTGATAATATTAATGAGCTGGGTTCAATTGAGAGCATCTAGGGAGTTTAATTTAAATCTGCTTGTCCAGTAGACCCGATTCCACTTTGAATGCTGGGATTCCAAAACCTAAAAAAAAAAAAAAAAAAAAAGAGCTAAACTAGATTGTTTTCAAAATGAGGTAATAGCACTGCGTTTTAGGGCAAAGATACAGACACACGTGTCCTTAATAGCCAAATTCTGAAGACGGTCCAGAGACGGTCCAGCTTCTGCTTGGGACAGCCTCTCTCCGTAAGAGGAAAGATTCTGCGTTCAGCAACTAGCTAGGTCATTTTCCCCCTCTAGCAGTATTGGGTTTTTTAAATGTTAAAAGTGAGCAATAATTTTTGCAGTTATATACCTTCCAGCAGAGGTAGCAGCCGAAAGCAAGAAAGACTTTCTCAACTGGAAGAAGGGAATTTATAATATAAAACTTGGGCACTCTTCTGAAAGGCGGTTGAAGAGAAACAGCTTGAAACTCTTTTCCTGGGAAAGCCTGTAGTGTGACACAAGTTCCTTTTCTTTTTTATGTATGTCTCAGCTATTTTCATTGACTGTCAATGGATCTTTATCTATCGCACTTTGAAAAATGTGGATCTGTGGAAGTTCTTCCTCACAGCTGGAGAAAGAACCCAAGTTAGCTGTACTACCTGGCTTTTGCACTTCTCTGTTTGTGCGTGTGGCTGTAGTTATTCTCATTTAGGTCATCGGTGCAGTTACAGCTGTTTTGGCTAGCTAGCTGTGCTTTGGTTCTTTGACTCCAGCAGGTTCGTTTGCCTCTGTAACAAATAGTCAGATTTAAGCAGTAATCCTAGTAGTAGCTAACTTTGACAAGAACCTGAGGATCAAGAGACAGCAGCAGTTGGTGACAGCCAGTGTATTGCAGTAGAGTATTTATTTTCCATTGGCGTATTGAGCATGGCTTCAGAGAATGAGAGTCTTAACAAAAACAAAATCAGCAAAACATCATTTTCTATGACAGACATAATGTGGATTGTTCACTTCGAATATTGCAATTCAAAAACTTTGGGTAGGTTGACGAGAGAGCATTATTTCAGAGAATGGTAAATGCAGCATGCTGGTTTTGCCTCCAGTCACCTCTAACTCAAATAAAAAAGATTTTTGAAATTTTGTCTTTGATACCACATTTGCCATTGAGTTTATATGAAAACAGTAAGAACAGCAGTTAGATTTTTTTAAACCGTGCCCGGCTCATGAGCGGAATGACACCAACCAAGGGTTTTAGGTAAAATGTAGGCAAAAACACATCTATTAATCAAAATATGGACAACATTTAACTGCTTCTAAAGAAGAAACTGCAGAAGTGTCTGCCTCTGTTCTGGCCAGTTCATTCCCCTTTAAGTTGTGTAAATACCTCTTTGTGGATGCTTCATTGGAAAAAAGGATGCTCCGTATTGGTTCGCAAACATGCTGGATAGAATTTTTCATGGTTTTTGCTAAAGAAGGCATTCTATGCTGGATATTTTTCTGAGGTACACATATCTCAATCCACTGAGGGGGAGAGGAGAGGAAGGGCAAGGTTCTTGGTTTTGCTTTAATTCATATCCTTAGAAATAAAATTAAACTGAGGAATGATGTTGAGGCTTCAAATATCTCTTACAACAGGGAAATAATCCCCATATAAAGAGAAGGAGTAGAGAGGATACAACATTTGCCAGATGTGTTTTTTGAGAATGATATACTTAAATCATATCCCTTATGCTTTAGATCTCCTTCTCTGTGAGATAAGTATGGAAATTGAAGGCTGTTCAATACGTCATTTAGTGCCCTTCCTGAAGAGCTGCATGTTCGTTAGAATGATTTTCCTTTTTCTTCTGTCTTTTTAGCAATTGTGTCAACAATTCAGTGCCTTTTCCCTCACATTATGATGAACCAGGACTGGGAATTCCCATTTTCCTACTTGCTTTTTTAAAAACATTTCTGATATATTTACCAAAAAAAAGAGAATACAGTTAAGAAGACAGTGTAATCTTTTTAGTCACCAGAATCTTTTCTCTTTCCCCTCTTAAACTGACCTTTCCAAACAGATCTTTGATTCAGGTTTAAAGCAGACAATGTCACATGCCAAATAAATAAGTTCATTTATTGACTTTCAAATAAATTAAAAGTCATTGGATAAATGTAATAGATTAATGTTAGTAAGATGGTTATTATAAGCCTGTAAGTCTATTACTGGCCTTAGGATAGTAAGAATAGGGACACTCAAGTTTGAGATGACAGAAACAGTAAAGACTTTGTTGAGTGTTAGAGGCACATTGCAAAAGAAACAGCTAAATTTATAAAGGATTAAGAGGAGAAAATAAAGGACTGGAAAACTTAAGCAGCTTGGTTTAATGTTTATTTTACTTATCACTCAACTTCTTCATACTTAGGTTGCTACTTTGGGACTGTGACGATAGGAGCTACAGCTACTACATTGAGGTTTCAACAAATCAGCAGCAGTGGACTATGGTGGCTGATCGCACAAAGATTTCCTGCAAGTGAGTTTAATTTTTTCCACTTATTTGCACAAAGTCAGAACTGGAAAATGGGTTTTTTATCCTTTTGTTCAGTACTTACATAGGTGACTTTTTGACTAGGAAAAGAATGATCATTACATAACTCGTAGTTTTCTAACTCTAGACCCTTGTAAATACAACTTTAGGAGGTAACAGCTTCTAGTGTGACTGAATATCTAGACTTTCAAACCAGAATCAAGTTCTGAAGATCCACATCAGTACTGGATCTTCAAACAATCAGTTTGTTTGTTCATTCGCAGAAACAGTCTGCCTACCATACCCTTGGTTTTGTGATCACTGGAAGTTAAACCGTGTTTCTCTGGAGTTCACGTGTTTATGGTGACCCTGGTGTCAAACCACCCCTCCTTGAGAGACATGGTAGGAGAGGAAAAGAGAGCATGCTTGGTAAAGGATTTTCTTAACGAAATGCATTTCTCCCTTATCAAAGCACATAAATGTATTGTATGATATTTGAAGGGGGTGGGGAGGGTGAGGGTAGGGACCAAACCATAACAGATCAACCAGTTACCTAAGCTTGACCTTGTCTCTGTTCAAAAGCAGAGTACCTGACCTATATGCACTGACCACTCTGCTTTTGAACAGGACCCTTCCATAAAAAAACATGCTTCTTACAAAGAGAAAGAAAAGCGAGAAAAACTTTCACTTTCATTTGTATACTAAAATCAAGAGAAATCGGGTATGAATACTTCTCCACATATATACTCTCCATTGGCTTTTCTGTAATTATTGGGTTTGCTGATAAAACCCATTCTTCTAGTATAGAAGAGTAATTCAGTATTGATAGCCTTCTTAAAACCATTTGATAGTTCTAAATCCAAGTAAAGAATGACCCAGATACTTGTCATGAGACTGAAAAGATAGGCTGCAAATTTATACGTTACATATCCTGAAGCCAGGTATTCTCAGCATTCAGTGAATGCTGTTAGGATATGATCTCCTGGCTGATCCCCAGGGAAGCTCAGACTTATTTCTCTCCTTTTTCCTGAATCAGTTTCCATAAGATATGCTTTCTTTCCTGGGACAAAATTGAAGTCATCAGCTCAGATGGAGACAGCCCCCACTCATCCTGTATTTGTGCCAACCAAAACAAAATGGATTTTACAAATTCAGAGTTGTATCTCAGTTTGTCACATCAGGCAAGAGGGTTATTCAGTCCTTTCTAGCAACAGGGCTGATACACATTTTCTAAGGGGTTTTTTTCATCTCTTAACAAATAGTGCAATTCAAACATGCATCACAATGGGGTCTAGACACGTTGGTGAAGGAGAACTTGACACGTCCTTTCACTGTCTGTAAAGGGCAGGGTATTGATGAGCAGAAAACCTGGGTTCTGTCTGCAAGTCTGGAAAAAGAGTAAGGGAGATTTAATCATTCTCAAAGGCATCTCAGTGTAATAGATAAAATTCATCTTTTTGTCTGTCTCCAGCAGTGGGAGCACTAAAAGGCTGAAACCAGAAAAGAGAGAGAGAGGGAGAGTCAGAATCAGAACCTTTTTGAACTTTTTCCTTGTACATATTTTGATACTAATAGTCTGTAGCAGTCAAAAGGAGCACTTGCTCAAGTATGCACAGTGCAGGTGGAATTGCTGGTTGACTGCCCAGTTCAAGTATCTACTCACCATGTTCAAACCACACATTATTTTTTTAAAGCCTTAACCTTGGACAAGTATAGGTGCATCCCTGAAATAAAGATAGGTGCCTCCCCATGGTGTACTTCAAGATCTTGATTCAAAACGTAGGTGCTCCGGAAGTTCTTAAAGCCGTGGCTGCAGGAACTGTTTTCATGTGGATTAAAGAATTATATTTTGCCTAACTTCTTGCTCTGACAGACATGCATCCAGCTAGCAAAATGTCAGTCTTTAATTTTAAGTCTAGGAACTTACAGTGTCCTAGCATTGTCTGCAATTATCAGTTCTAAACAAATACAAAGACCTGGTCCTAAAACTTACAATTACAAAAGCTCAGTGGACTCCAGAATAATTCAATTTAACAAGGACTAGAAAATTGTAAGAAAAAGCATCAACCTGAAAAAGCTTACTTCTCTTTGAAACTTTTCTATCCTCTGCAGTTACATTTAAATGCCATATCATGTGTAACTGAGATAAGTTGAAAGGTTTGTGGCTCCCCACATAAGCCCCTCAATTTTCAGGTGACTTCTTTGCATTTGACATCATTTTTTCATATTCAATTTAAATCTCTTGCCCTTTATGATCAGCAAATTGGAGTTGTTTTTAACAGTCACCACACCACAGAAAAGAAAACCCTTTAAATATGTTTAATTTTCTTTTCAAGTAGGATTTGCAGAAATGCTGAAGTGACTTCAGCTCAAAAATTACCTTGATTGTAATGGCAGCTTGATAACTCCAAATACTACATAAATAAGCACAGCTCCAACAGAGAGAAATCTGCCTCTAAATGCCTTTTAGTCGAGTGATTCGGGCACTCCCCAAGGAAAAGCAAGAATCAAACTCGTGCACTGTGCCTGGGTTTGACTCATCATCAGGTTTAGGCAGACAGTTAAAGATTTCTGCGTTCAGCAATTTGCCTTAACCAGATTACAGCATAACGGGATGGAAGCGACAGTACCCTCATCAATTCGTTCCCCATGTTTATGAATGCCGCACCCCTCTCTCACCTGGAAGAAATGAAACAAATCTTTTGCTAATGTGGTCAAAGTTTGCAACTATTTTTTGTCTTGGCCAAATCCTAATTTTTTAGATGAATACTTGGACATCCCAGCCCGAAAAGGGCTAATCCTACAGTGGTATAAAAATTGTCATCACTTAGTCTTACATGTCTTTGTTTAAAGAAAATGAGAAGTAGGTATGTTCTTGCCTGGGACTATGATTGCCTGTTTGACTACAAGTACCTCGCAGAGCAACAGTCAACTAAGAATCATTATACATTTATTTATGTGAGGCTGAAATATGAATTCTTTCCAAAAAGTATACTCCAAATTGTGTCTGTTTCTCTTATAAATTTTGGAGATGTGTGTGCAGTCTAGGTGGTTGATAAGGTCTTGAAATCCTGGGTTTACCCTTTCTGGCATTAGTTCTGTATTTAATATACTGCAGTAGACTCCAGAAAAATAACTGGCTTGCTTTTCTGTGTAGGGTATGCTGCAGTATCAAGTGAAAGTGGATGGAGTTAAAACCTGGGAGAATTTCGCAGGGGCCCACATTTGAAGAGGCAGAATACTTGCAATGGGAAAATTTACTTTGCTAGTAATACTCTCTATTCACTTTCCTGTCTTCAAAGACATGTGGATAAGAGTTATTTCCCGTGCTGTGTGCTGCCTGGCTTTCTATCTACCCGGTCTTTCTGTGGAGTTACAATCCTTTGTGAAAGTCATTAGCGTGCTGTCTCGCAGTTGTCCTGTGAGGTCTCCAAATCATTTTGCTGAATCTCTGGCACAAGGGGTAGGATGAACCATAAAGGTAGCAAACACAGACTTCAACAGACACCTTTGATGATCAGTAAGTGGCAAACAAAACAATGAGAAAGAAAATTAAATTACGTTTAAATAGCATATATTGGTTTTGGCAGTCTACTGAAGCATGAACTTCCCCTTTAAACTGTCAATGTGCTGCTTTGCGTTGTTTTAATAGTATTTTTAATGTAGCATTTTGTGTAAATTAATAATTCAATGCTCAAAGTCAGGAACTGACAGGCTACTCCTAACCTCCTCTTCTCCCAGTTTTAAAAGGCTGAAGACAGAAAGTGAATGTCTGTTATCTTCACAGGAGAAGCTTGCTTACCTTCCCTAAGTGAGAGCCAATTAATGCATACTGGTTGTGTAATTGTCAATTTTCAAATGCCCTATGGAGACTTTTTTTTTTTGTTTCCACAATAAGCTGTTTTTTTCTACACGGTATGACAGTAATGAAAAACAGTCGTGTTCCATTCTATTTTTTAAAACATTTATGATAAGTGGGCTTGAGCGTGTTAGTGTCGAACAATAGAGACCTGCACTTGTTAGAGGAATTTACTGACAAAGAGCCTGAAAGTCAAATGAAAAACAGAAGATACCAAAGGCCAGTAGGAGTCAGACCTCAGAGTTAATGACACTTTTGATAAATAAGCCCTGTAAAGACAAATATGAAACAGGCTATCATGATGGTTATCAGCTCAATATCGTTCTTTAAAGTTCTCTTGCATAGTTACTGTGAAATAGAACTAATCCATTGGCAGCAGACATACCATGTTCAATTCCCCAGTAGGAAAAAAGGGTCTTAATACTATGATAGAATTTGGGAGACAATTAATATTGTTTATTGATGGGCAGTACTAAGGCAGTCAGTATCAACTGTCTATACAGCTGGTTTGGGACATTTTTATCATTTTCTTGTGGAGGGCATCACTGTTTTCAGAAGGTTTGTAACATATTGAATTATATATTCTCCGCCCCTGCCCCTCTGGACTCATTGTTTTGTTATTCAGAGTATACTGCTGTTATGATAAATGTTTAAAAACTTCCAAGCTTAATTTCACGTCTCTATTGTTTATTGTCTTTTTATTATGTAATAGCTATTTCAAATCCTAAATTCTCAGCTCAGTTCTCCTCAATTTTTTTTCTATAGTTTTTGTATGAATGTAATTAGTACTTTCACATGAAAAGCCCTTTGGGATGTGGATGCAAGATTCATTAACAAAATTTATTAACTGTCTTCTGATTGATTTTTCAAGAATAATTTTCAACTTTGAGGTTTATTGCTCCTGTCCAGTGTTTCATATTTCTATCCCATGATGTACTATGTGCATTTCCAGTTTTCAGGCACTGCTGTATTTTCTTTGGTAATAAAACACAGGTACAGAACACCTGGAGAGATCTAGGTCATGCACTTAACAGTTCTAAACCACTTTTCAGATGTACAGAAGAGTGTTTTCCATGTTGTCTAAGGACTTCAAGTGAGAAAATACTTCTGCTTTACGCAATGTTAGTGGCAAACTCTATTTTGGATT